CTGACAACCTAAAAAAATCACGCTGGGCTTCATTGTGTTTCTGTCTCCTTAGAATAAAGTTAGGTAGTTAGAAAGAAATCTTGCAGCTACGTGACTGAATAAAAAAAAAGTGAAATGTAGCAAAGTTATGAGAAAATATGTGAAACTATCTAACAAAGTGCTTTTACTCCCTCGCACTGCCAGAACAACTTGAAACAGGTGCATAAAGAGACGACTAGACATGGTTCACTCAGTACTGGGCAGTTGCAGCCTAGTACAGGAAGCTTTGTGTTGCTTGTTCAGTAGAAAAAGGAGGCTGTCTCAATGGAGCTTTTGTTGTTTGAGTTGGAGACAGCAAAAGCACAAGAAACACTGACTGACAAATACCTGGCCCCTCTGTGCCTCAAATACCTCAGCGTTGCACTTGATACAATGTCAACAAATGCCTCCTCTGTCTTCTATAGTAGCCTGTTTCCTCTCTGTCCACAAGATTTTTTCATGTTTATATAAAGGCTACTGTTTTCTGAGCAGACATCTGGGTGAGCAGATTTGGCCTGCATAGTTGGAGTGCTGAGTCTCTACTCTTTGAGGGGTTGAAAATGGTCCAAAGCACTTCCAACAGTTTAGTGCTCAAAATTGTGGTTAACTTGTCTTGTAGTTCAGTTCAATGTATGGAAAAGAATCTGCATAAATTGAGGTTACAGTTAAGGTTAAAGAGTCACAAGATTATGTATGGAATCAATCAAGCATACTAATGTGTTTTCTGTGCATTAATGATGCTTGACTCATCAGCATGATGGCTTTGATAAAAGAGACACAAGAGCTACTGCATGGAAATGTCGACTTTGTATTGGCAAAAATATTTATTATCACTAAAAACTGCTAAGCCTTCTGCGCCCAGTGTTGAATTAAACTGCTGAGGTAATGTGCATAAGGAAGTCAAGCAGGGGGTTGCTACATAATATAGAAAGACTTTATGTAATCTGTTTTGAATTCAGAAACAAAATCCTCTTGATTAACACTGCACCTTTCCCCCATAGACACTGATTTAAAACTGCATTTTTAATCAAAGATTATTCTGTAAACACCCAGAGGAATTGAACAGCTTGCAGAATATTGCTGTTAGATTCAGCCATTGGGGAGCGGTCAATTTATTAGATTTTGTGCTGTGATAAATATAATTCCTTCTGTCTAAAGACTCACTAGACAGTTTCATTTTACTCCCCCCGGGCCTCAGATGAATACTTCCAGTTTCTTCAATTATTCATGTGGATGTGAGTTTTAAATCCTGAATGCTGTCTGCAACCTGCCCGTTTCTTCCTCTTTGTTGTCAAGCTTTCATCTCTAACTGCATGGCTTCTCAAACTGCATCTGAGACTGATTTTGTATCATTTTGTATCATCTTCCAAATCAAACCACAACTGTGTCTTATGGCTTTCTATTCCTATGTGAGTTCTTTCTAACATGTCATGTAGGGTTTAAAGCCATTGGATACACAGTGGACAGTCAACTTAGGAAATCTGTTTGATTGCTTTTATGACATTATTAGATTTTTACTGTGAGAAACAAAGTCAATGAACAACGGAACTATAATCATCATTTGGCATTTCTATTGTAAGTTTAGCTTGTGTAGCCTTTTGCTCAACCCAATTATTTGTAGCATCTAAAATCTTATGTAATGACATCAGGAAGTTGTACCCTACATCTACATCTTTCCTTGCATCAAACATTTAGAATTGTGGGGCAAACACAGATATTCTGAGTTACAGCTAACATTGGTTATTTTCCTGCAGATGTTTTGGGAAATGACTGCCTGGTTTTCATAAAAGTTGTGACTTAGCAGATGGTGAAGGAAATGAAACAGTTCTTTTCCTGCTGCTGTCAGCTGTTCCTACAACTTCCATGAACAGCTTACAACTCTCATTACTTACTACTGGGAAGCTTACTGTGGATATGTGTTTAATTTAATGACAAATATAAAATCTTTGCCATCTGTTATTTTAAAGTGGAAGTTGAGGATTTTTTTTTAAGTTTATCCCACCGATCGCTCATGGGTCCCCTGTGAGGACATTAAAATATTTTCATTTCCTGAAGAATTGACACCTGTCTAGTTCGACCAATGTTAGTTAAAGTTTATGTAGTATGACATCATTACTGTCTAGGTTTAAACAGATAATGCTGTAAAAATCCTGAAGCTACCAATAACGGCATGTATACATATGCTGATTCAGATTCGCAAAGAATTAGACCTACTGCTGCTGATACAGTGTTATTGTGTTTTGCATGTTTTATACAGTGCAATTTTCCTATTAATAAAATAGCGGGGTAACATTATTCACTCTAGTGGTATTTACTTTTTGTAGACCTAACCTTTTTTTTAATCGCCAAAATAATGACATAATTTAACTGCAACCGCCTCCTTTTTCTTGTTACCTATTAGCCAGGTAACATTTCAATAGACCTTTTTCAGCAGCCATTTCGACTTGAAATAGCAGGTTGCAACCTTAATTTGTATTATTGGCAACACCTGTGTTTACCCTGCTATTTCATGAAAAAAGTCTAAGGATATAAGAGGAGTGCAAGCAGATAAAATCATTATTTTACAGTGCTGACATGATAGCGATGTGTGACTAGGGGCATGAAAACCTTATTGTGTCACAGCTGTAATAGTTGCAATGGGGTGGCCTGTCTTTTTGATTCAGGTTATAATTTGAAGAATAAGTAGCCTTTTCATTCATGTTGTTTACTTTGTTCATTTGTTACCAGAGACCAGAAAGAAAGAAATATTGTCCGTTCAGTGTTCCTCACGGTTCTCATTAACTCAAAGTGAATTAGGATCTAAATTAAAGATTATGTGCTGACCTGTGGCTGTACTAAACCACATAATAGTCACAATTATAACATTTGTTCAATGAATAAAAAAGGTATTTATGTATTTATGAATAACTAATCCTTACCACTTGATTGGCTTAATTTAGTGCTAGAGCTGACTGTTTAATGGTCATTTTGAATACTATTATTGCTCATTTTTGATGGAGGCCAGATGAGGATACCATGCAACAAGATTATACATTTTAAACAGTATCATCATGGGAACATGTTGTGCACTTTACCCAGCTGAGCCATCATAGCACTTGTAAAAAGCCCTTCAAATGTGGCCTCTCATGGTTCCTACAACCTCCCTGTCGAGTAGATTTTTTACAAGGATTCCAAGAGCATTCAGCCTTCGGACCGCAATAACTCTCCTGACTTTGAACTTGGAAGTATCCATATCGGACCCCTTCAAACAAAGCTTGATTCTCTGTGCGAAGCAAATATGAGCAAGTCAAGTCTCAGATCACTTTAAGGATTTTGATTAAAGACTTTTATACTATCTGTTAACCTTTTTATATGCCTTTCAAATACAACCTTTGAGCTATGAGTCTTAGCCTCAATCCTAACTTTAAATCTACTGTATACGTTGTTGTTGTTTTTTGCTTTATATGCTCAAAACAATAACAGTAAAACACTCTAGGGGGTCACAGTATTCACTAAACAGTGATGTTCTGGCTGGGTGAGTTTTAAAAGTGCCCTGTGGAGTTATCTTGTAAACAAACAAAATTTATGTGAATATTCATTCAGTGTTGTTCACCAAAACACACTGTGTGTATCCTTGAGCTCTGCTGAATTTATTTTCTTCATCATAAAACATTTGCAAAGATAAACAAAAAGGGGACCCACTTATAGAGAGACAGCTCCATGGCGCTACTAGAGGTCAAAAACTCCACAGGGAACCTTGAACATACCAAGCAGTAGTTTCTTGATCTACATTAGCTGCCAATCATTGGCAAATGGTGCTTGCCAACCGCAAAAGATTCAGAATTCAAGTACGCCCGTCTTTTGAATCTAAAAATAAAAAGGACACATGTTCACAAATGATGGATTCCAATCAGGTAATTTCGATCCCCTCAATCACAGCTGAAAACAAATGTTGTTTTTCTCACATCTCGCTGTGTTGATCCAATCTAAAAACGGTACAGTTGAAGTTCACAGCATTAAACAGCACAGCAGGTGATCGAGTCTGTTCAACTCAAACTCAAATATGACTGAGATGTAAACACCTGCTGTCTTGTCATTTCATATTTTCATGCACAGAGCAGCAAGATAGCAAAGTTGTCATCTAATTAAATACATTTTAGCTGTTTTGTCATGATTTGCAACAATGACAAAGCAAACAACCCAGCTATTGTTCAAGGGATCCATTTTGCCTATTCTGTTGATGCTTTCACTGGCATAAAGTGGTGTTCAAGCGGTACAATCCTGAAGGGAACATCTTATTCTGTCTCATTATGTTTGCAACACCTAACGCAAAACACAAAGGAACCATTTGCTATAAAAACTCCCCAGTTCTGATTATTATTATCTGTATGATCAACTCTTTTACAGAGCAGGATAACAGATCTCTCTTCAGTTAAATATGTTATGGCAATAGGGATCTACCAGGTGATTAGAGTCATTTTATACTGATATATTTTTTACTGAATATTTTTCAGATGGTAAACATGTTTGTTGGAACAGATGGCTGCTGTAAGGTTGTCACGATACCAGAGCATTAAACTTTGATTCAATACTAGTATAAAAAACTATGCTCGATACCTCTTTCAGTACCATGCCAAAAAGAAAAAAAGTCCTAGGCACACAAACTTGGATCTGTATAGTTTTAAACATGTGGTATAGAACAAGTATCGATACGTTTGACATCCTTAGCCTGGCTGCTGTAGGTCTTTGATTGGAGAAAATCTTCTGTGGCACGTTGGACACCCCCTGCTACTTTACAGACAATCACCTAAACAAGTCTTGTGTTTTATTTTTTATCTTTTAACAGGTGTTAGGAAAGGAACAACTCACCACTTCTACATAGGTGGATGCATCACTTCAGTAAAAATGCAGCAGCAGCATGCAAGAGAGACACCACAAGACCAACGGCGACTAAAGCACAGGTCAAACCTGGAGGTCAAAGGTATGCATTGGTTAGGGAGGAGGAATTTGCACTTAAAATGCAACTGTAAGAACTATCGTTGATATTTGGGGTTCCCACTACTAGACCGCTTTCACATAGCTACCATCATTTTGGCATGGCACAGGAAAATCAAATAACAATGAATTCCATTTAGCTTCTATAGTTTCAGTGTTGTGGTACTGTGTATGCTGTCTCACTGTCACTGGAACTTTTGAATACAATTGAGATAATGTTACTGTTTTAGTAACACCTTCCCTACCACTTTTCCTACTTCCTGAAAAATCTACTGTAAAAACAACCAATTAAAATGATATTATTAATTTTACAGGATGAATTTCAAAGGACCAGTGTGAAGAATTTAGTGTCATCTAGTGGTTGCAGATTGCAACTAACTAAACAACCTGGGAATGAAAACAGGCTGTGAAGCATATAGGAGAAACTACGGTGGCTGTGAAACTCACGAAAACACAAAAGTCCCTATCTACAGCCAGTGTTTGGTTTGGTGTCCATTCTAGGCTACTGTACAAAACATAGCAGACTCCAGGGAAGGTACATCTGTAGATATAAATGGCTCATTGTGAAGTTACAAAACACAATGATTCATATATTTAGGTGATTATATACTAATAAAAACATACCCTTGAATCTTATATTCCATTTCTGCCAATAGAGCCACCCAAATGTTACACAAAGGACATTCAGTTTGAAAATTATGTATTTTTAAAATGGGCAGCTCCAAACTTTCATATTCATTGAGTTTCAATGACATTACAATAAACACATTCACATATCTTTTGGCTTTCTAGATATTGTTAGCTAACATTACAGGGTAATATTACAATTACAGTATCTAATCATAAAGAGCTAACTAAAAACTGATATCCAGAGCTGAAATCATTGGTCAAGAACACCAAATAGCAACTGAGTTTATATTCAATAAAGTGTTTTAGTCATTTTTAATGCAAAATGTGTACTGGTTCCAGTTTCTCAAATGTAATAATTTGCTGTTTTATTTAATAGTATTGAATCTCTTTTGGCTTGCTGGTTAGATAAGTTAAGTGTATTTTAAAGCAGATAAAAATTTAATAAAAAAGTTCTTATGATTTAATTGGACTGTAATGAGCTTGAACCCCAGCTAAACACACAGTCAGCTCACGGTGCTTCAAACTTTATGTTTACTCAGTGAAGGTATGTAAAGCCACTTGCTGTCAATCAAGTCCTCGGTCGCAGCTGTTCTCAGTTCAGTCAGTGTGATTCTCAGACCACAAGGTTTCCTCCGAGCACTCCCGTCGGTCACATCTCACTTCAAATACTACTTTTATACAAATATAAAAGAACAAGCAAAGCACTGGCGTTAAAACTATCTTTAATTCTCCGCGTCGTCGTCCTCCCTGCGACATGCCGCTGTTTGAAGAGGACCCCGCTCATCTCTCCAAATCTAGACTGAAGTCTGATTTAGTGGCGCACAGCGTCGCGCTGCCGCCTGCCCAAAGCAAAAAGGACGTTTATGTGGAGTTGCACTTAAAACACATCGACCAGAAAAATGCGGCGGATTTTTCCAGCGATGAGGAGGATCAGGTGCGAGATGTGGCAGTGAGTCGATACAACCTCTTTGCACGATTTGGCCAAATAAAGTGACTTTTTTCAGACAGTAAAAACGTGTTCTGCTCTCAGTCGCAACTGGCTGTAACTTTTAAAGTGAATCAATTTGAAAGAAAAGCTAGAGAAAATAGTGTTTTCCTACTTACTTGACATGTTGGAGGAAATAACATATGTTTCTTGGTGAAAGAGTTATAAAAAAAAATGCTGCCTTCAAGGACATAAGCCATTTTATTTGTTAATGAGAGGCCCTTGTGCATAATAAAAATAAAAATAATAGGCTGGAACTGAATTAAAACGATGCTGTGCAAGGTCAGCAGCTGTGGAGGGGAGATTTGGGGTCACTGGCTATCAAACAGTCCTCTCAGCTTGCAGTTTCACTGCATTTCAGCTTCTTGACCACTGAGCCACCAGCTGTATGGTTGGTATAGGTTTACATGAGACGTTCCTTGTAAGCTGCCATTACAGTCGTGTGCATGTGCTTGCAACACCTGTCACACTCATTTATGTGTGCCAGGAAGAGCACTAGCACTTGGAAGGTCTGAGAGTTGTTTCTGTGCTGTGTCACCGTGTAGGAAGACTGTTCAGACAGATTGTGTTTAGTCTGTGTAGACATCCACAAAAAGAAATCAACTGTACTGTTAAATCAGGGTAGATTTATAAAGTGCTGCAAGATTTACACCCAAAACTGATATCTAGAGCTGAAGTTATTAGGCAAAAGCACCAATTGGCGAAGTGATATTTTGTATTCAATAAAGCATTTGTCATTTTTAATGGAAAATGTTTACTGGTTCCAGTTTCTTAAATATAATAATGTGTTGTTTTATATCATAGTATTGAATATCTTTTGGACTATTGGTCAAATAATTTAGTTTTTACTAAGTTAAATTAGAAAATAACTGGCAGATCAATTGATAATCAGTTGATAATGGTTATATACAGCTCTAGTGATAGTTGAGTGCTTTCCAGAATGGGTCATTAGGTGTTGTTATGAGGAGCTGTAGAGAGAGCCCGTTGATATCTGATAAGCCAGTATCAACTAATAGTACAAGCCTTCTCATAAACTTTAACGTAAACTTGTCTTTCACTTTTTTTTAACCTTTTCTTCTGTGGTTGTTCAGATAAGGTGCATATAGAAAGCAGATGATTTATACAGTACTCAACTCAGATGAATATTGAACAGATGTGCAAACTGCATCCTCCAGCTATTTCTTTATGCTTTATATCCCACACCTGGAAACTGCTGGCATTCAAGCTGCAGCCTTTGTCTAAACTCAGCAACTTTTTGTTTTCTGAGGACAAGGAAGAGGATGCAGAGGATGCAGAGATTCCCGACCCGAGTGGTTTGACTGATGACGACCTCAAGGCGGCGCTGCTTGAACACGGATTTAAAGCCGGGCCCATAGTTGGTGAGGTTGCACTTACTACTTGTTTTAAATTGGTTTTCATTGGAATAATATGATTCCTATCATCATGAATGCATTTTTGTGTTTTAATGAATGTTTTTAAGATGTAATGTTCAACTTCACTCTAGTTTTTAGGCCTGTTTGCCCCTGTCTTAAAAAAAAAACATATTGCTAAGGTATTGTTTGTCTATGCTAGCCTCCACCAGGGCTGTGTATGAGAAGAAGCTCAGGAAACTGCTTCAGCCTGATGGACAGGACCATCTGAATGGAGCAGAGAAAGGTGTGGTGTACTCTGACAGCGAAGAGGAGGATGAGGAGGAGGAGGAAGGTAGGACCACAAACGCCTTAAATTTAGTCTTTTATTTTGTTTTTATGGTTGGTATTAGATAATCATATGCTTTGTATTATTTTGTACAGGTTCTCAAGGAGCAAAAGAGGAAACTGTTGAACGGTCAGACCAGACCCAACAAGAGAGTAGCCAGGTGAGAAAATTGTTGGAAGTTCTTGATATCTGTTGGAGTTTCTGTGTTAATCAATAGTATCTTTTGAGTTGTCTGAAGGGGAGCTTACACTACCTATACACTGCTGGTTAATAGACATTCTTGCATTTTTGCCATCACCAGGTGTATTAAACAAATCTACCCTACAATGCCACTTGGTGGTTACAGACTGAAACTGCAAAGTTGAGGTCTGAAGGGAAGTGCTCACTCTTCCTTGGAATAAGCACTTGCATTTTGAGTGTGTTGTTGTTTTTTTCCAGAATGGTGACTTTTTTTACCCGCAGTGCTTTTTACCCTCATCAAGACTGGTAAATATTACGGATATTCATATTGTTTACTCAAAATTCTAAGTTAAACTTTAACTCTCAGGGGACACTGATATTTTTTTCTTCTTGTGTTTGATTGGGTTGGTCTTTTGTAGCGTGCTCGTGCTTCTAGAAACAGGGAACCTTGTCCCAAGAGGAATTCAGGGAATGCGCTAAAATCATCAGAGCGCAGTCGGTCTCACTGCTCACAGATTCCAGTAGGAATTAGTAGAGCATCCTCTGTAGATCAACGCTCAGGATTAGGATCAGGGGTAGGCCGGTCTTATTTCTCTCCTCTCGTGGATTTTAAATTCTCTGCATTCCTTGCCTAGACTGTCTAACTTTATTGTGCGTCCTTCTTAAGCCACCTAATGGGATATTTGTTTTGTTTTACTGTGATGGGCATTAGTATCTCACTGGTGTATAGATTGTATGATGATACATGTTTTTGCTGCTGGTTAACATTATAACAGTAATACTAATCCTTGCAGGTTCCATCTGGATCTCAATCAGTTATGTCCAATGGTTGCTCATTTTCCTCTCAGGCCTTCAGCATCACTCAAATGGTTGAGGAGGAAAGTTAATCCCACATGTTTTCATTTAATTTTACATATTTTATTGTGAGTACTCACCACCGGTGTGCTCACTCAGTAATGTACATCCTCACCCTAAACAACAGATGGAGAGTCGGAGGTCACTGTCTGTTAGCACAGACACAGAGAGAGAGTTGAATGGGAGCAATGTGCAGGAACATTGGTCGCGGTCCAACAGGGTCAGTAGTGCTCGCGTTGTTCAGTCGCACTTTGAGCACAAACTTTTGGTGGTTGTTGGTGTTGGAGAGGTCCACTGGAAGTGGGAGGATACTCTGAGTAAATAAATCCAGTGTATCATAATCTGTTCTCCTTTCCTTAGCTGGACATGCCGATTGTGGACAAGCACAGCATGAAGAACCAGTCCCTGTACTACACTCCCAAGGCCTCCCCTTATAAATGGGGAATGAAGGCACATACATTTTCTTGTTGGCTTCTGTTTTTATTCTATATATCACTTATAACCCTAACAAGAACACACTGTTTGGTGTAACTCCTTTCATAAATCAATGTTATAATGCGTAACACAAACTAGAAAATTATACGCAATAACCTTAACAGTTGCTCTCTCTTTTGTCAGTGTGTGTCGGATTCCTCATCGTTACATTCACAGTCACCCTTTTCCTTCATTTCTACCTGACCTGCTTGGGCCTCTGTGTCTCTGGGATTTAGCTGTCTGGGACATAGTTCTGTTTTCTCTGGTCCACTTTGTCAGTAATTACTGCTTTTCGTTTCCAGCTTTCTCAGGAGCCTGTGAAGGATACTTTCAAGGACATGTTTCCAGATACTCAGGCCACCCCAACAGGGATCCAGTAAGTGCCATAACAACACTATCACAGTGTGCACAATTAGAAACTCGTCACAGCTTTCTAAGTACACGGATAATCGTGATTGGATTATCAGCACCTATAACCTGTTGTATTTCAGTGCCACTCGTCGGAAACCCATCAAAGGTGCAGCAGGGAGACCTATCCAGTATGTGTACCCAGACACTCCAGCCAGCCCCACGACCCAGGAGAGACGAGCGGTGGAGCGCCGCCTTGTGCCCATCCAGATACAGATTTTGGTCTTCCTCATTGTGGTGGTTCTCCTATACCTCATTTATGCTTGTGTTGAGGACAACTCATTCAGTCCGTTTGTGGCCTTACTGGAAAGTTTAAACCAGGGGTCAGACGGTGAGGAGGGGCTTTTGCTTCCGGCTGAGACGCAGGACACACCAGCACTCTCTGGACAGGAGTAACGTATGTTTTTTGGTTTTTTTAACCCTCTGCTTTGACTTACAGATGTGAGGGTTGCTTTTTTTGATGATGCAAGCCAAAATTACCTTGTCCTGGGATATCCTCAGGGAGCACATATTACTTTAAATACTGTTTTGTTGACTGTGTTTGTGTGCCTTTATGGGAGCAAACCTTAAAATGTCCAGTTTTACATTTGTATATGTCTTTCTTATGGATGTGTTACCACAGTGCTTTTGTCATTGTAGTTGAAACAATTACTAAAACAGAGATTCAGTTGAAATTTTAAGATTTTCTCAAATTAAAAATAAATTAAGAATGCTGTAACTTTTTCTATTTCCTAATCAAGATTGTGTAATGCGATATTATTGTACTTGTATTACGTGTGTGTGTTTTCTTTTTTTTAAATATTTGAATATTTCAATAAAGGATGTTTTGCTTCATTATTTTTTTTATGACAAGTGAAAAAAAAAATTCATGCAGATATAAGATAAGACAGACTTTATTGATCCCACACTGGGGAAATTCACACATTACAGGAGCTCCAGTTAAAACAGATAGATAGATAGATAGATAGATAGATAGATAGATAGATAGATAGATAGATAGATAGATACTTTATCTCGAGGGAATTTCAAAACAGCAGAAAAAATAAATGAACAAAAGTAAAATGAAAAAAATACAAGATATAGGAAAATGGAAAAAATAGAGTTGTAAAGTAGTAGTGGCATGGTCTAGAAAAATAGTTAATTGCACGGGACATATATATATATATATATATATATATATAGAAATTTAACAGAAAAATATAGGCTAGACAGGGCTATGAAAATGCAGTACAGGTCTTATACTAATAATATGCATGTAGGAAATTATATATATGTGTGAAACAATAACAATCAGTAGGGATTTTTTCATATAGTAATATATATACTATATATATCTATCTATATATATACTTTTACTACATGCCAGGAGAAAGATTACAAGTGCAAGTTATATTGGTGCTTTAATGGAGTTAAACTTTTCCACACAGTGGCAGACTGACAGCATTATTCTCTGCATGCAGCCGGTGAATGTTTGCTTTCAGACCAGCAGGTGGCTCTCATTCAACCACCCAGCCTGCACTGCACACAGTGTACGAGTTCCGCTGGAACAGCACACTACAATGACAGATTCAGGGCCAAAGTTCAAAATATTCAAGTTTTTAAAGATTATTTTTAGCAGCTTCATCATTACCATACTGCTGTTGTTTACTATAGCATCTCTCAGGACTCTCTCGCTGGATGTAAATGTCGGACTTCAACTCGCACAGTGGGAGAAGACGAACAACATCTCGTTGGCCATAGACCACCATCAGAGAGAGGAGCTTCTTGCTCATTTTAAAGGTAACTTTGCGCTTGCTTGTCGGTAAAGCGTGAATTACCGTCGCCTTGTGTGGAAAGTAGTTAAAGCACTGACAGGCGGTGCGGGTTTTAGTTAACTATCTGTGTCCATTCATCCAGAGGCTATACGGATCCCCACGGTGTCATTCTCAGAGACGGATATCAACACCACCGCGCTGCTTCAGTTTGACAGGCTCCTCCGAAAAGGTAAAACTGGCGCTGACACAAACATGAGACACTTATTTATACGTTAGTCACTTGTGTGTTCACAGTGTACTGTATTTAGTGAATTTAGACTTATCACGGGACGTGACTCCAGCTTTAGCTAACGTTCAACGGTTAACCTAACCGTTAAATACGTTGAAGAGAACCAACGTTACTAAGCTACAAAATTTAGCTAACGTTAGCTACGTAACGTCAACCCTAGATGTAACGTAAGCTACGTAACGTTCGATGTAACGTCTCCTCCGTCAGCTGCTTCTTCCTCATCCCTGTTGATTTGTTTATAACACACAGTAGAGGCAAATTCATGCCGTAATCTTCTGTAAGTGAGGTTTGCATTGCACTACAGGTGTAACCTAACTAACTGCTAATGGTGGAGAGTTTGCTTACAATTGTTCAGATGTTTTTATTACAGGTTTCAGGTTTGTCTCTCGGGTTTCAGCTTCAAACAGCTGATATTAAGCCATGCTCCAGTGCACAAGTATGCGTTATGGCTGCAAGTGTCATTTATTATTTTCTCAATCAATAAATTGTTTACTTGATCTGTAAAATGTCAGACAAAAAGTCACACATGTCCATTAAAATGATCTTTGCTTGATTTGTAGGACAAATGGTCCAAAACCTGAAGATATTAAGTTAACTAACGTATATAAGACAGGAAAACAGCTAATCCTCACATTTTTAAAAACTGGAATCTGCAAATGTTTTGGAATTTTTACTTGGGAAAAATAAATAAAAATCTATTATTATTGCTTTTAAATTGATATTTTTGTTGATTGTTTCAGCTCTGGAATATATATTTGTGATAAGGCTTTTAAAGAAGAATTAAAGGTGTGCTCCAGCAGTTTAGTATTGTTCTCTTATAATAATTTGGGGTCTCCCATAAGATTTTTTTTTTTAAATGGTCAACATTGAAGCAACATAGGCAGAGATACCATGACTTCCCTAGTAAGCTCCAATGACACTAAATCCTGCACATGACATAATGCAACAATACAATCTTTTTGTTAGATCCTCCCTGACTGGGGAATACCCACATTTGAAGGGGTAAAGATAACCCTAATGCCATCCTCTGCCTCAGATGCAGACTGCTCTAGAGCTACACAAGAAATTATACAACTATTTTCATAGGCCCAAGTATTAAACTGACCTCAGTGAGTAAAATCTGTTTCCTCCCTTAAGCCTTTACTCTTCCTCCTGTGTCAGCCTTCCCAACAGTTTTCTCTTCAAGCTTGGTTGATCATGAAGTGGTGGCCAACTACAGCCACCTGTTTTGGGTGAAAGGATCACAGCCTGACCTGGAGCCATACCTGCTGCTGGCCCACATTGATGTAGTACCTGCCTCAGAGTCAGATGGCTGGGAGGCACCACCATTTTCTGCCAAGGAGATAGATGGCTTTATCTATGGTAGAGGGACCATAGACGACAAGAGCCAAGTAATGGTGAGAGAAGCCATATTTTGTGTGGTCTTGCTATTAAAACAGAGTTGATATTTGTTTACCTTTCATGTGCCAGCCAGGCTGATATAGGATATGCTTTATTTCTCCCAGGGAATACTTCAGGCACTGGAGTACTTGCTGATAAAAGGCTATGCTCCACGCAGAGGATTTTACATTGGTCTTGGTCATGATGAAGAAGTACTTCAACTATTCCTAAAACTTGTACTTTTTAAAATTGTGAGAAGATTTAAAATAACTCACTGGAATGTCCTTTTTTGATATTTCATTTTTTAAAGGTCAGTGGTTACCAGGGGGCAATGAATATAATGCATATACTGAAGCAGCGGGATGCGCAGCTGTCTTTTGTTCTGGATGAGGGCCTGGCTGTACTTGATGGAGTCATCAGTGGTCTTGAAGGACCTGCTGCTCTGTAAGAACCTGCCATGCTCTAGTGTAAACATGCTATTTAGTTTGTAATTTTGTTCATGGTATAAAGTTACAAAAACTTGGCCAAAGTATTACAACAGAACTCACAATTATAGCATCAAATTGCATGTCTTTGAAGAAATTCTGTGTTTTATATGTGTGTACGTGTTTTGTAGAATTGGCATAAGTGAAAAAGGTTCGGCCACTGTAAAGCTTAGTGTGTCCATGGCCCCTGGTCACTCCTCAATGCCTCCCAGGGAGACCAGCATTGGGATCTTGGCTGCAGCAGTTAAAAGGTGAGATGAAAATCCTCTTTAAATTGAGAGTGTTAGCTCATTTAACTTCCATATGATGAATTCTGATCCGTCTCTATGTTCATGCTGTACCATACAGTGTGTTTAACTACATTCTACAAAAGCCAAAATCTAAGACTTTAACCACAATTTCCTCAGATTAGAGGAAAACCCGATGCCGAGATTATTTGGTCATGGACCTGAACGTGGGACCTTTGAGCATCTGGCCCATAAGGTAAGAGAAACCCATCACGTGTGTACTACACATCACAGCTAGTAACATGTTTGATCTCATAGTGTTGTTTCTCAGTTACTCATTCTTTGACTTCAGTTCGGGCTCCCGATGAAGTTCATAATGTCAAATTTGTGGCTGTTCTCCTCACTCCTTGGCAGGTAATTACATCCTAAAATTCATTGAGCATCTATTCTGTTTGTGTCCATTGGAATAAATTAGTATATTTTATATTACAGGGTACTTGAAAGGAAACCAGACACTAATGCTTTTGTAAGGACAACCACAGCAGTCACCATGTTTAATGCAGGAGTTAAGGTACAGTTGTTATAAAATAGAAGGTGATTCACAGAAAATTAGATTGCAAGCAATTCAGATATACTTTGAAACTTTTAAAAGTTTCCTTTTTTATCATGTAGGTGAATGTCATCCCTGCCCTCGCTGAAGCTTACGTAAATCTCCGAATCCACTCAGCACAGTCATTACAAGAGGTAGAGTCTCTACTCTTTTTTTAAGAATGTCTGATGTCTGTAACAAATATTCTGAGTTCAAGATGTGTGCTGTCTCCTTTAGGTCCTGGACCTCATCCAGTCTACGGTGGGGGACCAGCGAGTGAAGATGGAACTTGTTAATGGGTTTGACCCTCTGCCTGTCAGCTCTAGTGATGAAAGGGCCTTTGGCTTCCAGATCATTAAGAAAACTGTGTTGGACATGTTTCCAACAGTTACAGTTGCTCCAGGTAGAATCCAGATAAGATTTAATTGTATAAAAATGTGGTTATTAATTTCAGAGTATTCCATAAGTGTTTTAATATGTTTGAATGTGCAGGTATCTGTATTGGGAACACAGACAGTCGACACTTCAAAGACCTGACCAATGATATTTATCGCTTCGCCCCTGCCTGGTTTAAACCAGGGGATGCTCAAAGGTAAGAATCTAGCATGTTTAGTACTGAATAGAAATAGTCTCAACAAAGCCTGCTGCAGTCATTATAATAAACTGCAGAGTAATATCTGGAGAACCAGAAGGCATTTTCTTGAACAAAAGAGAGCTTTCTGTTGCTCACATATTTACATCACAAACTTGTGATCTAACGGCGTGACCTACTTGTACTGTTAAGACTCATAGTTCCTCTTGAACTAATATAGTAAAGGAGTTTTATGTATAGAACCAACCTTTTGCTCAGTTTACCCCTCAGCTTTGGTAATAAAAAGCCATTATCATGCAGTAAGAGGTAATTGATACAATAAAGGCTTTTCTCCCTTTTTCTTAGATTCCATGGCATCAATGAAAGGATTTCCAAAAAGAACTACGAGGAGCTCATAACATTTTACTTCAGTCTGATTCAAAATTGTGACATTCAGAAGCTCCCTGATCCTCACAGCTCTGTCCATGAACTCTAAAAGATAAACGGTACGGATCCTAACAACTGCAATTCAAAAGACT